GTTTGTGTTGTGTGTGTTTGTGTTGTGTAGCTCTGTGTGTGTTTGTGTTGTGTGTGTTTGTGTTTGTGTTGTGTGTGTTTGTGTTGTGTAGCTCTGTGTGTGTTTGTGTTGTGTGTGTTTGTGTTTGTGTTGTGTGTGTTTGTGTTGTGTGTGTGTTGTGTAGCTCTGTGTGTGTTTGTGTGTGTTTATGTCCGTCAGAGTGTCTCGCGGGCAGAGGCCCCCGCTGTCCCGGACCCCTCTGTCTGCGCATGCTCCGTGCGGCGGCTCTCAGCACATTGAAGTGTCGGAAGTTTAGCGGAGTTTTAGCCCGACTAGCAGCAGAACGACGCTCCGAGCGAACAAACTCGTTTTTCAGCCGCAAAAAGTGCGTTTGGGCGGAACCTCGAAGCCCACAGTGAAGCCCGGAGGTCCGTCGATGGATACAGGCCGTTTCCCGCTGATTAATCTGCGCAAACGGGAGCGTTAGCGGCGTTTGAAAGAAGTTGTGATTGTTTTTTTGGCGCTCTGGCAGCGCAGAGGAAAGATGGAGGATCTGCGGCTGTAGCAGCGGCTAACGCTAGCTGGCCTGTCGCTTCACTGGCACCACCGTCCGGGGAGATATCCGAGCCGCTCCGCCGCCCTGAGGACGCCCCCAAAGTTTGGATGGTTTGATCGCACACGCTACCGGAGCCCGGTGAGTATGGCCTCGTGGTGGGGAAGGCTAGCGGGCGGAGTGCGTCGGTGTGTCGGAGCGCTGAGTTAGCCTCGGAGCTAATGAGCTGAAACCTGCGTTAGCTTATTGAAGCAGCAGCTTAGCTCGATGCTAACTAGCTGCCATTACAGCTCAGAGCGACAAGTTGCCCCACTCGGTTAGCAGGTTAGTTATGCTAACTTTTACACTCCTACGACTTAGTTAGACTAGTTATAGTTAGTGGTGCTGCCCAGCTTAAACTCAGACTACTTAGTTAGGTCAGTTGTAACCAGGACAACTTCTGCCTGCTCTCACAAACTCACACAACTTGGTTACCAGACTAGTTCTGGTTAGTGTTGCTGCTGCTCAGCGGTAGCTCATGCCTGAGTTAGCAGGTTCTGTATGGGTCGGTCAGCAGCTGTTTAGTTCTGGTTAGTGTTGCTCATAACCACCTCTGACTGTTTAACCTGTTGTGTGGGTTAGTTATTGTTGCTGAGTCTGCTGGGTTAATAGGTGAGATGACTAGTCTGGTTAACACCCAGACTAGTTAACTGGAGACACAGTTAGCAGATCAAACTCAGTCAGTCTGGTTCTGTGAATAATTTAATCCAGAACATGTTAAAGAAGCAAAACAGCGTCTGACAGGAATAAATGTGAGCGACAGAGATCCAGACAGAAGAAATATTCAATACACAGAACACATGAGACAAGAAAAAGGAACAATGCTGTCAAAATAAGTCATAAAAGTTTGTTTAAGTTTCATGAATGAGTCCAGAAACATCCAACTAAAGGAGCGACCGGTTGATCTGAAGCCACAGTAACTCAGATGTGTGTCATCAGGGAGGGTTTCTGTGCTTTTTAATCCACACGTCTGTGCTTCTGTCACAGCAAACCACATCGTGTTTGACTCCAAACCAGTTGTTTGACTTTAAAGAAAGTCTGAAACACACTGACAGGTCGCACGCGTCAGGAACAGTGATCAGTGATGGTAGAAGCTGTTTGTTCTGTCCCGACATCCAAAAACAACAAATAAAAAGAACTTCTGTCGTCTCCTGAAGGGACTCAGCGAACATTTTGATCATTGTCTGAATCGATCGATCAGCTGATTGATCTAAACGTGGATCCGTTTCCTCCAATGTCTTGTTTAGTCCAAACAGGTTCAGTTTACTGTCACAGAGGAGAGAAACCAGAAAACACAGAATTTAGATGGATTTTATTTAAAATGACTCCACCTGGTTCATCAGAATACCTGGTGACTGATTGATCAGCTGATCAGTGGCTCCAATCTGAGAATTACATTCTATCGGATGCAACTGAACTAATGGACTGATCAGTGAGTGACAGAGTCTGAGAGTAGTTCTGGGATGTTGTTCTGACCCTTAATGATCCGTCTGCAGACGTTGACTTTGCAGACGCAGTGAGTCGGATCTAGAAAGCTGCAGTCGCTCAATGTTTTGGCTTTTTTCTGATGAACGGATGAAGCAGCAGGTTGAACTGTCACACGTCGTCCTGTTCATCATCTGATCGGTTTTATCTCAGAACAACAGAAACAGGCTCTGCTCACAATGTTTGGTATTTGTTCCTAGAAATGACTGAAATTCAAGACAGCTGTCAAAATAGCTGCTTCAGCGGCTTCGTTTAAAGTCTCGTTTCACCGTTTGGTGGTTCTGATCTGTAGCTGTGGTTCAGGTCACTGAGACACACTGAAGCTGAGCGTTTTCTTTAATCATAGCAGAGCAGGAAGTGAACCAGTCGCTGGATGATGATCGATCATTCAGCGGCGCTCAGATGTGAATGAAGTATTTTCTTTGTATTAAATGTTTTTGGACGTCAGTTTAAATATGAAACTACCTGAGACGCCACTGTGTGTGTTTGTAGATGAAACCTAGAGACCAGAGTCTGAGCCTCATCAGGAACTATTAATGCCGTTATTTAAGGCTCTAGGGGCACTGATCAGTCCATTTATTGATCAGCCATGTTTTGATAAACGAGATGACAAAAATCAACCGTCTCCAGCGTCTGGGTGTGTTTGGACTGAAACAGGCGATGGCGTTTTACAGACGATCCACAAACTGATAAAGAAAACCGATCATCAGCTGCAGCTTCATGTCAGAGCACTGGACGGAACAAGTCCAGTCTGCTGCTGTTCTTTAAAAGAAGTCACAACTTAAAGGTCAGAGACTGTCTGAGAAAAGTTCTGCTAAAGGGATGAATGTGGTCGTATGAACCCTTCACGTGCTCTGAGTTCCACGCCGAGCGGAGGCCACGCTTCAACGCGATCGACGGCTTCACTGCAGCTGATGATGATTTTTGTGGTTTTTCATAGATTTTGTCTGTAAAATGTCAGGAAACAGTGAAGCCGTCTGTTGTAGTTTTAATCTGACCTCACTGGTGACCAGCACGGTGCTGAACGGTGGTGTGTCTGTCAGGAAACTGGATCAGTGATTTAGGTTCTGTGAGTGTTTCACCAGGAGCTGCAGCCGACAGACAGAAACTTCACAAAACACCACAAATACATGAATAAACCACTAAAACCGTCTGTACCAGCACCAGGAGGTTCTCTGGCGGCAGCTTCACCTCTTAACGGCCACAATAGAAATAACTGTTCTGTTGATCCGTCCATCAGCTGTTTGGAGTCCAGTTTACCGTCAGAAGGAAGCTCATCTGGACTCTGCCGTGTTACTGACGGCCAGCCTGGACTCGTCCGGTTCTTCTGAGTTCTACACTAAAGCTGGTCCCTGGTCGAGTCCCGGCTGTAAACATCCATCAGTACAGAACCGAGGCCCAGTGACATGATGGTTCTGTGCGTTTAGGAGACTTTATTCAGATTAACATGTGAAACAGGAACACACAGCTGCTGTCAGCACGTCTCACAGCAAAGCCTCAAGCGCCGCACGTTTCATCCTGAACAACACTGAGTTTAATGGTTCGTGTTCGTCTGGTGGACGTAGTTGAGCTCGTTTACCGTTTTCCTCGTCAACCTTTACGGCCGCATATTTGATGTTTTGTGCACATCGGAGCTGAAGCTGAGCGTCGCTTCCACTGCAGATTATTCTCTGGCTGAGTTCATTCAGCCACTAGTCTGAGTTATCACAGTTTTTAGTGGCAGCTGCGGAATAATTCAGTAGACATCACAACCGTCGGTCCAAAATGGCTCCAGGCTCGTCACAAGTAATGAGAATAACTGCTAAATGTTAAGAAGTGCTCCATGCAGCTCCAGACTAGTTTAAAATGAGAACACCTCGTTAATAAGAACAGGCATCATGTGACAGCTAATGGACTAGTCGGTGGTGAGCACGGTGACCAGGCTGCTTCGTCTTCATGGTCAGTCTTCTACAGTTCAGCATCTTTCTGCTGGAAACGTGTTCAGGGACAGTTGAACATTTAAAAATGACCAGTGTTTTACTGCAAAACATAGAGCAGCTTATTTCTGTAGCACCTCCTTTACATGGAGGTTCTTCAAAGAGCTCTGAAGGCAGCAAACAGCAGAATGACTGGAACAAACTCCAGCTTCTAGAGGAGCTACAGCTGATGGACTAACGCGTCAGAAAAGACAAACTGGAGAAAGAAAACACTCCATAAAATAATGAATGAGAAGGTTTCATGTTGGGTCAGATTTCAGTGATCTTTCTACCTGAAGTGACTGGTTCCAGGTAAACCTGTCCACTGAATGTGAACTGTTCTGCTGCAGATCTGCTGTTTCTGCTCAGGAGCCACTAAAGCATGAGAGTCCTTCAGGCTCTGAGGATGGAAGCAAAGCTACTGGAGGCAGGATCTAGGTGAGACCCCCGCCCCCGTTTATACCTGTAGTACACCTGGAGTATACCTGGAGTGCACCTGGAGTACACCTGGAGTGCACCTGGAGTATACGTGTATATATATATATGTGTATACACACACACACACACACACACACCTTTATATACCTGTTTATACCTTTATATACCTGTATATACCTGTGTCTATCTGTTTGCTGTCCTGTGAGCCTCCACTGATTGTGAAGCGTCCTGCTGTCTGATCTGTTTGCATGTGTGACTCGACTCCTGCAGAGCGTCGGTGTGTTGCTGATAATGACGGTAGACTCTGCTGTGTGTCCTCAGACATCAGATGGTGCTCTGAAGAAGCCATGGGTAGCTGCTTAAGCTGTCCAGAGAAAGAGTCAATTCCAGATAATCATCAGAGTAAATTCAAGGTGAGTTCGTGCCTCGACCTGCTGATCCACACCCTGGATTATTCACTAATGACTGTGGTTGGAGTTTCATCATGACTCTGCTGCTTTCTCAACCCGAGCGCTCTGTTTCCTCCTGCTCTGCTGTGGTTCACCTGAAGCGCCTCCACCTGACAGCAGAGCAGCTGATTGGTTGGATTCAGGGTGAAGGTCCGCCCACACAGAATTAAAGTAATTAAAAGTTATTCAGACAAACGTGAAACAGGTCTGACTGTGTTGGGAAATGATCCTGATAAACCGCTGAGGATGATCTGACAGCAAACATGACAGTGAATCACCAGTTTTACTCATGAATGTTCCAGTGAGTGTCTGAGGCGTCTTCGACCTGCTAACTAACCGGTGACCTGGTTTCATCTGCAGCTGGACACGTCTGTGTTCTGATAGAACCGAAACGCTGTTGAATGGATGGAATAAACCGGAGCAGCTTGGTTGAGATTATGCTGTTAATTAGCTGTGGAGTCAGCGTAGAAGGCATTATGGTCTGTTTGGGTTTCATTCTGGTCCGTTTACGTCTCGTTCATCAGCGGTGTGGTTGGTCAGAAGGTGGCGCTGTAATAAACAGAGCAGAAGAAAAAGGAAACTAAACCAGCAAACTGCTAGAAACCCAAAGAAGAAGAAACTAATCAACCTGTCCGTCTGCAGACTGCTCTCAGTTCAGCTGTGATGATTCTTTGTGTCAGCAGCTGTCGGCCATGTTGATGATGTCACAGACAGCTGGTCATGTGACTGAAGCTGTTACTTAGAAAAGCTGTTTCCATGAACATCAGTGATCTTTAAGGAAAAGTCAAAAAGCACCTCAGAGCATAAATTAAAGGTGATAAAGTCACATTTTGACCTTTGCTGTTGACGTTTTTCTGCTGAGATTCTGTAATGCGTAGAACCCTGCTGGTTAAAGCGCAGCGTGTGAAGGAGGATGATGACGTGACGATGCTGTTTGACCACCTCTGATCGAGCCATGTGTGTGTTTCAGGTGATCAATGTGGACGACGATGGGAACGAGCTGGGCTCAGGTGTGATGGAGCTGACTGACGCCGAGCTCGTTCTCCACACCCATCGCCGTGACGACGTCAGGTGGCCTTACCTGTGCCTGCGGCGCTATGGCTACGACTCCAACCTGTTCTCCTTCGAGAGTGGCCGCCGCTGCCAGACGGGTCAAGGTAGGAGATCGATCAATACCCATTATTGGTTCTTTGGGACTGACGTACATGAAAGCAGGGAGCCTGTAATCACACCTGGACTAATTCACTGATGCGCTCATTATTTAGATTAATAATTACTGTAGCAGAATATGGACAACGGAGGGGATGACATCAGAGGGTCATGTGACTCTCAACCTTCTCCTGTTCAAACATCAGTGACGGTTCTGTCTGCTGTTCTTCTGTGTTTATTCCCACCAAGGTCCAGATCTTCAAGCTTCATTAGTTACTGTTTCAGACGCAGCTGGCTGTGTGCTAACTGAGTTGCTAGCCGTTAGCGTAGCATGAACCTGTGACAGCAGCTGATGGCTGATTGATGGAGATGTTTGTGCGCGTTGTTGTCAGCTAAACACATCCATCATCATCTCTACACCTTAACCCTCACTAGGGGGCTGGAGCCTATCCCAGCTGACTCAGGGTGAAGGCAGGTTCACCTGGACAGGTAACCAGTCTATCACAGGGCTACACTTAGAGACAGACAACCAAGCACACTCACATTCACACCTACGGACAATTTACAATCACCAATTAACCTCAGCATGTTTGTGGACTGTGGGAGGAAGCCGGAGAACCCGGAGAGAACCCACGCTGCACGGGGAGAACATGGAGACTCCACGCAGGAAGATCCCGGGTGTCCTCACCGGGACGCCAACCGGAGACCTTCTAGCTGTGAGGCCACGGTGCTAACCACCGAAACACCTGCAGCCCCAACTAAACACAGTTAACGTTCATCTGACTGCAGAAACATGTTACGGTGCTACAGATAGCGTTAGCTGCAGGCTAAAAGGCACCGCTAACCTGTCAGTGTTGCCATTAGCTTAGCATTGTTAGCAAGATCAGTTCCAGCTGCTCTGACACAAACAGGTGAATACTTCCGGTGCTTTTGGGTTATGCTGAGGAGTTTTTGTTTGAAAACTCGATGTCTGACTGAGACGTAGAATAACGTGATGAAACATCAGGAACGATTCATTTTCCTGATGGAGTTAAAACCCGATATCTTCAAGGACCATCAGAAAGGTCTGAGATTCTCTGTGTTGTTACTGTTTGTGGCGCCGTGCTGTTGAACCCAGCGGCCGGTTCTGAGCGTTAAGGAGCAGGTGTTAACACGTCGAACAAAGTGACCATCAGTTGTCAGTCTGCAGGTGGATATGGAGCTGCAACACAACCAGCAGGTGGCGCTGCTCCTTCCCTGTTTTACTTAACCTGAGCTGTCTTATTGTGTTGAACTGTGGTTGGATCCGCTGGTTCTGGTTCTGACTCTGTTACTCTTGGATCCATGCTGTCAGGATCGGGGGGTGGCGGGGGTCGGTAAGTCTCAGGAATCCTCGTCTCCTCCTCATTCACTCCCCGACCTCCCAATACTGTGATCGGGTCGATCAGGTGAACAGTATTGATCAGCTGTGAAGGTGTTTGTGCTGTGATATTCAGGGATCAATAACTGTGTTGGTGCTGTGTCCTTCCCGTGTTGCCATAGTCCTGGTTCTCGTGTCCTTTTAGTCCTCTGACCAGAACCCAGATGTGTTCTTCCTCCTAAATGTCATGTGTCTATCTGCTGTACTGATGAAGTTCTGAGGCTCAGAAATGATGGAAAAAGTCCATTAAAGTGATAAATCTGGACCCTCCTCTGTGGACTTCAAGGACCTGGAACTATTCACATACATATTATAACATATAATTTTCACAGTATGGAGGCAGAACTCTGATCATTAAATTAGATTTGTGTGGTCAAAGATCACAGTGAATGTTAATTACTGTTGTTAATGTCATTGCTTAAAATGAGGAACTGACTATATCGTAGTGTAGCTGTAATGCCTGGTGCTTCCAGCAGGGGGAGTTACAGGTGTGTCTAACACTTTGAACAGCAGTTGTACATGAAGTCTGTATGTTTAAGTGTTTGATGATTGAGTAACATGCAGTTGATCTGAATAATGTGACTTTTTATGAAGCATCCGTCTGAGCCTTCACTGATCATATGAGCTGATGTTAAAGCTCCTCTGTGTTTCATCTCAGCTCCATTTACCCTCCTGCCTGCCTGCCTGTCTGTCTCTCTGTCTGTCAGTCGGTGTTTTTTATCCTGATGTCGACAGACTGAATGCTGATGTGTGTCACTGATGTGTGTCTGTGTGGTACGTTGTGTGTTTTCAGGTATTTTTGCCTTCAAATGTCCTCGAGCTGAAGAGATCTTCAACATGCTGCAGGAGGTGATGCACAGCCACAGCATCAGTGTGGTTGAGGAGGCGGTGCTGGAGCCCAACCACCAGGCGGCGCTAACTCCTGCAGGTAAAAACACACTGCATCAGGCGACGCACACTCCACAGTTGTTCTGTTGTGTGTCTTTAAGGACCTGTACGTCTCGTTTCCTCAGCTCTTGGTTACTCGGTGCCCACGGTGCCCAACGGGGTGAGCAGGATTCCCTCTGTGGGTGAGGCTCCGTCTCACCCGTCCACCCGTCACCCGTCAGTAGCCAGCACCCGGCTGCCCTCTGTGGGGGAGGACTCCACTCACCCCCTGCTGGTGGCCGATGAAGTGGTAAGATCAACACTGTTCACCCTGCACAGGTGACTGGGGTCAGGTGACTGGTCAGGCGACTTGGGTCAGGCGACTTGGGTCAGGCGACTGGTCAGGCGACTGGGGTCAGGCGACTGGTCAGGCGACTGGGGTCAGGCGACTGGTCAGGCGACTGGGGTCAGGCGACTGGTCAGGTGACTGGTCAGGTGACTGGTCAGGTGACTGGTCAGGCGACTTGGGTCAGGCGACTTGGGTCAGGCGACCGGGGTCAGGTGACTGGTCAGGNGCTGAGCCAGCGTCAGGCGGCAGCGAGACAGGACGTACTGTTTCTCCAAGTCGTCCAGTTCCAGGATGTCGACCTGACGCCTCACTGCAGACAGACAGGTGCAGACAGACAGCAGCTGTAAGTGTGTCTCTGAGTTCCCTTGTGGTTCTGGTTCTGTCGAGCTGCAGGACTTTATGTTGCAGAGAGGTAAATAGACTGACCTGGTTCAGCAGAAAACTCTCCATCAGAGTTCCTCTTCGGAGACGCACCTGGACGCTCGTACTGCACAGACACACACAGTCAAAACACACAGCAGAGTGCAGTGGGGTTGTGTAGCTGTGTGTAGCTGTGTGTGTGTGATGTGATTGTGGTACTGTAAGTGTGTGTCTGCGTGTATGATGTGTTTGTGTGTGTGTGTGTGTGTGTGTACCGTGGCCCCGGCGGCCGGCTGGACGATCCAGGCGTACTCCGGCCTGATGAGCCTCAGACAGGTGAGGGCCGCCAGGTAACAGTTTACCTGCTTCTGGAGACCCACTCGAGTGGGAACCTCTCGGCCCAGACGCATGCCGAACTCAAACATCACCGTCCCGGCTGTCCACACACAGACACACAACCACACAGGTCAGCACTGGCAGGAACTACAACCACAGTGAACTACAAACATGGCGCCTCGCCGCTACCTTTCCTGTAGTTGTGTCTGACGATGTGGAAGGCGTACAGCAGCTCGTAGTAGTTGTGGGTCAGCAAGTCCAATCCACGAGCTCGAGACTCAATGATGCTGACCACCTGACACACAACCACAGACACACACACTCTGTTAACATCGGTCTCCATTCCAGATATGTTCTGTGTGTTTCTGATCAGGTGGTTGATCAGAATGAACAGATCAATATTAAATAAAGACAAAATAACAAAAGCACACAGAATAAGTTAAATCTCACTATAAATCTGTTCAGCAACCCCAGGTCAAACCGCTAAATCCTCTGGATGTACCACAGAAGTCATGGTGCCCACTGCACATTAACTCCCACAATCCTCTCTGCTTTGGTCTGCAGGTTTTGCAACAATAGCACACAGTAAGAGGCTCCACCTGGTGGAAGTACCAGGTACTACGGCTGATCTACAACATTTATTGACAGCAGGTTCTCCATCTGCTGCCCTATTGGATACTGTAGGTCCGTCAGGTGGTCGGTAGGTCAGTCAGATGAACAATCAGGTGGTCGGTCAGGTGGTCGGTAGGTCCGTCAGGTGGTCGGCCAGGTGGTCGGTAGGTCCGTCAGGTGATCAATCAGGTGGTCAGTCAGGTGGTCGATAGGTCCGTCAGGTGGTCGGTAGGTCAGTCAGGTGATCGGNTGTTTTTCATCAAACCTTCAGACGGGTATGAAGAATTTTCATGGTCATTACCATAGTAACAGATGCTGTAGAGCCAGATCACCATGGTAACGGATGCTGCACCGCTAACCTGGAGGTTCTGTTCAGTTTCAGAAGGATTTAAATCTTCACCAGTTCTTCTGATGATTCAGATTCCCAAGTTTTACGTGTCACCTGCTGCTTTGTATGTTAGCCATGATAACTGGATGTTACCATGGAAACCTACATGTGCTCTGTTTTTATGTTCGGTCCATTACGCTGACAGTACTACAGCTGATAGAGCATTAATGAGAACATTGATTATCTATTGGTATTTGTTACAGAGAATGTTCAATCACATTAAATTCACTTTGATTTAAAGTGACTTCGTCCAAAACGACCAACTCGTGTATCAGCTCTGGTTGATCCGCTGTGGTTGGACTGGTGTCTGAATGTCTGGAAGAATCGTTGGTGCTGAACCGGCTTAAACAGGGTTCACCAACAGTTGTTACTTTAAAGACCAACACATTAACACAACTGTGTGTGTCTGCAGGTCCACACCTACGTCAACACCACGGGTCTCCTGGAGGAGCCCAGTCCTCTGGCGGCGCCGACCCCCCTGGAGAGCCCCACCTCCCCCCAGCCTCAGTGCCCTCCGACCCCCCCTCCTCCCCCAAGGACCCGGGTGGAGCCGGCAGCAGCGGTGGCTCCGCCCCTCTCTGCGGAGCCCCAGGTGCTGCTGGAGCCGGTGGGCGTTCGCTTCGTTCTGGGCCCCACTCCGGTCCAGAGGCAGCTGATGGAGAAACGGCAGCAGGAGCTGCAGGAGGCCGATGGGCCGCGAGAGACTAACGGACATGCCGACGCCGAGCCGGGCCCCGCCCACTCCAATGGCTCCTCCCATCCATCCACGGCCCCCCGCCGCCACCGCCCACCCCCCCTCACCCCCGACCTGCAGAATGTCAACAACTCGGCCCAGCGGCGCACCGCCCTGCTGGACTACGAGAACCTGCCGGCGCTGCCGCCGGTGTGGGAGGCGAGGAAGCCGAGCTCAGAGGATGAGGAGAACGGCGGCCTGAAGACGCCGTCGCTGAACGGCTACAACCACCACGGGCCGCTGCAGCACTCGTACTCCCACCCGTTGTCCGCCGCCCTCGAGTCCTCGCACAACTACGTCAACACGGAGAACGTGACGGCACCGCTCAGCGCCCACCGGCCCGACACGGCCCGCCGCCGCGCCGACGGACCCACCATCTTTAACTTCGACTTCCGCCGGCCACCGCTGCCGGGCCACGCGGAGCCGCCCAAAACCCTTAACTACATTGAGGTGGAGATGGACGGCGGCGCCGGGAACAGAGGCGCCTCAGACGGCAGCAACCCCCACACGCCCCGCACCCCCACCTCCCCGCTGCCGCCCACCACGCCCACCCGTCGCACCGAGCTGTACGCCCTCATCGACATCGAGCGCACTGCCGCCATGTCCAACCTGCAGAAGGCGCGGCCGCGGGATGACGGCACGTCACGCAAAACGAGACACAACAGCACGGAGCTGCCCACCAAGAGCACCGTGTGACCTCGCATGGACCAATCGGATGGGAGAAAGACTCTCTGCTGCTCACCTGAGCAGGTGACGGACCTGGACTGTATCGCAGGACGGACTGCTTCCTTATATGGTACAAATCAGTATTACTGAACAAAGCATTCCATTTAGCCTTTTATATGAGTCACTATGTGCTGCTGTAATTCAACACGTATGTTCCAACATGTACAGTAGATCCTGGCACAATAAATGTGTTTTTATTTGTACTCAGTGCACGTGCAGCGCACGTTTAATCACATGATGACCTATATCTCTATCATATCTGCTGACCAGAGTTCTACCTTCAGACTGTGAATGTTCCAGAGGTCCAGGTCCTTCAAGTCCACAGAGGAGGGTCCAGATTGATCACTTTAATGGACTTTTTCCATCATTTCTGAGCCTCAGAACTTCATCAGTACAGCAGATAGACACATGACATTTAGGAGGAAGAACACATGTGGGTTCTGCTAGAACCTGACACCAGATCAGTTCTACATCCATCCAGGTGTCTCAGTCTGAACACTGGACCTGGTTCTGTTCATGTCAGCAGCTGGTAGCATCAGTATTATGGGATGGATCATAGTGGTACCAGGTCAATGTCTATGACATAGAGTCATGGAAACAATCATTGTTACCCTGGATGTGGTTCCGGTTCTGATCAGTCACCAGATGAAACTTTACAAAGTGCATTCTGGGTAAACTTTCCAGGCTCATATCAGCATGTGTGATGGTGGTTGGTCAGAACTGGTTCTAGATGATGGAACATACCAGGACCATCTGTAGACAGAAGTCACTCTGACCACAAGTTGTTTATCTACTTAAGTTATGAGGCTCAGAAATGAAGGAGAAAGTGTGAAATTAAAATGACTGTTTGGTGAATGGAGTCTGGTGGCCTTGAAGAGCTTCTGTTTCCCGTCTGAAAGGAATGTTGATGCAGCATGAAAATATCAGAACTATTTCTGAAACCTGTATCACACGGAGATCAGAGCAGTCAGCCGCTTACCTGAAAATACGACAAAGACGTGTCAAAAGTGAGAAATCTGTAGATTTCTGCTCATTTTGAATTTGATGTCAGAAGAACCGAGGGACCAGAGGTCAAAGGGTTTCTGCACCAGGTTCAGAATGGCTGCCTCAGTTCCAGAGTCTGATGTCTTTGTTCTGCTTTTGGAAATGAGGCAGAAAGACAAAGTTTTGGTTTCACATGTCAAATGTGTTATTTTCACGTTGCCGTTAGTCCTGACTCCATTAACGAAACCAATCGTTTAGCTCGATCAGCTGCTGCTTGGAGCTAAAACAACTAGTTTTATGAATGGAGTCTGGTGGCTTTAAGCAGACCAGCGTCAGTTCCCTGTCAGGACTGTCGATGCAGCTGATAGCCTGTGTTTAACTGAAACTAGTACAAAGGTAACATCTAATGGTGAAATTCAAATGATTAAAAGCCAGAAGATGGTGCAGCTCAGAAGGACATGTTGCTGAATCCAGCTAAAAATGAGCAACACGCTGTTATTTCAGTTAAATACCGACTAAGGAGTGTGACATTCATTCAGTTATGTTATTGTTTTGGACGTCCTACAGAGTGTCACCTTGAAGCTCTTTAACTTCACCTCAGGACATTTACTTCTATTTCTGACAGTAAATTGAAGCCACCAGACTCCATTGACAAAAACTGAGATTTTAGCAGCTGCTGCCTCAGTTAACATAAGTGGTGTGCTCTAACACCCACCAGACGTCCTCTGGCTGATGAAGCCCAGGTGAAGAACAGAGCGCCGGTAGAGTTCAGTAAGAAACACTTTATTCATGTACAGTGAAAAACAGGACGAGTAGAAAACATTAGAAAACACTTTGAGCTTTTGCAGCAGCTTCAGCTCTGAGTCTGCGTCTGGTCATCTGCTCCACCACCCGGTGATACTCGGACAGCTTGTCCTGAACTCTGTTGTAGAGCTGCACACACACAGACACACACAGAGCAAGGCGTCAGTCACAGGTTCGATTCCCTCATCAGCTCCAACTGTACACACCTGAACCAACGTACGCTGCTGTGAGTCTGCGTCTCATTCAGAGCCTGAAGCAGCTGATCGATGGACGTGTACGGCAGCCAGGCAGGAGGAGACGTCGCACACAGAGGCCTCTGGAACACAACAGACACACAACATGAGGCCTCTGTCGGGGTGAGGGTTGTTCTGACTTAGTTTAGAGAAGTTCAGAAGGTCTCCAGGTTCAGAACCTCTCAAAATAAACCCCCCAACAGACATGAAATGAGGAGACTCAGACAGAACGGTTCCATCAGAACCACTGGATGGATCCATCAGGACACAGTCTGACTGATGATCCAGAAGGTTCCTGTCAGTGTCTATCTACGGATGGATCCATGTTACACCACCTGTTGAGGCTCTAACATCAGCAGAACCTGGTGTGGTGAAGTTGGACCAGACAAGGTTCTGGTTTTTAGACGTTTAGACTAAATGCTGATGTGGATCATTGGTAGGAACCAGAACCTGGAGTTCACAGGTTCTAGATGTGCAGAGCTACAGGCTGCTTCCTGTCTTGACGTTTAATGTAACTGTGTCCTGATGGATCCATCCAGTGGTTCTGATGGAACCGTTCTGTCTGAGTCACCACATTTCATGTCTGTTGGACTTTTATTTCTGGAGGTTCTGAACCTGGAAATGGACTCTCAGGTTGTTTGAGGGTCTGAAAACATCTGAAATTCTCCAAATTCAGCCAAAAATATTTGACAGAACCTAACTTTGGGTCCCAAAGACCAGTTCAAGTGAACAGAACCGCTGCTGTCTGAACCAACAGAACTCTGTCTTCCTGTTGAGCTTCTTTCCTGCTAATGTTTAAATCAGATTTGAATCATCTGCAGCTGAAAAGAAGCTAAACTGAACTAGTTTACAGACGTTCCCTAAACGCCTCACTCCAAAGTACTCGAGTATTTTTACCTCGATTCCAAAGTACTGATGTCCTCGACCCAGAACAGCGTCGACGTATTCCACCACGAGCTCAGCAGCAGAATCCAGCAGGTCGAAGTTCAGCAGCAGCCTGAGCAGAGATGGAGCGTCCACGCGCTGAAACAAACAAACAGGTAAACAAACAAACAGCAGATGGAGCGTCCATGCACTCAAACAAACAAACAAACAAACAGGTAAACAAACAAACAGCAGATGGAGCGTCCATGCACTCAAACAAACAAACAAACAGGTAAACAAACAAACAGCACACACTGCTCTGTCTGAATAACTGCCTTAACAATGCAATAGACCAATCACTGATCAGATGAATCAGGTCATGTGATTCCTCTGAGTCTTTCTATTGGCTTAGTGTAACCCCGCCCCCCGTCCTCATTGGCTGCTGAGCTTTCACCTTGTAGGACTTGACCAGCCAATCAGGCAGAGGGACACCATGTGACAGCAGCTTGTGGATGACGTAGCGGTGATGCTGCCCGTTAGCTGACGGATACCTGTCCAGGTAGGAGGCCAGCAGCCGCCACGCCTCGTCTGCAGCGCTGAGGACAGCAGACACAGAAAGAGCTCTGATCACCGCCAGCTGTCACTATGACAACCTGATCAATCAGTCTGATCGGTGGCAGGTCTCACCTGGACTCCTTAGTGTTGACCACAGTCAGCTGGTTAGCAGCCAACCAGCTCCAGGCCTCATTGTGAGACTCCTCCCCCCCAAACTGCAGCTTGATGCATCTGAATGCAACAAACAAACACAGGAGGTAAACAATCAGCTGCAGCATAAACATCTGACGACACAGGAAACGGTGTGCAACCTACTTGAAGGTGAGACCCTCGAACACCGGCGTCAGGTTGAGTCTGAAGGTCTGACTCAGAGAAAGAGCCGAGTCAAAGAGTCCGACCTGCACCAGCAGCGACACGAGTTCTGCTGCCGAGGAGCTGCCTGAGGGACAGACGGGTCACAGAGAGACAGACGGGTCACAGAGAGAGTCAGACGGGTCACAGAGAGACAGACGGGTCACATTGAGACAGACGGGTCACAGAGAGAGACAGATGGGTCACAGAGAGACAGACGGGTCACAGAGAGAGACGGGTCACAGAG